CCAGAACTATGAATAAAACCACGTGGTAGGCAGAGTTCTAACCCCCCCCCCCCCCCGAAGATTCATGCCCCAATGTATATGCGCCTCATAATCTCTTCCCCTTGAGTGTGGGCAGGACCATTTTGGATGCCACTCTCATAATTAGATTACATGATAAGCAAAGGTGAAGGGGTTTTCTAGATGTAATTGCAGTTCCTAATCAGTTGACTTTAAGTGTCCTGGTCACCTGATTTAGCCCATTAGGAGAAGATCTGGAGGTGGGAGATTCCCTTTCTGTTCTTTTTTTTTTTAAAAAAAAAATATTTTTATTGATTTCAGAGAGGAAGGGAGAGGGAGAGATAGAAACATCAATGATGAGAGAGAATCATTGATCAGGTGCCTCCTGCACGCCCCCCACTGGGGATCGAGCCTGCAACTCGGGCATGTGCTTTGGCCAAAATTGAACCTGGGACCCTTCAGTCTGCAGGCCGACGCTCTATCCACTGAGCCAAACCAGCCAGGGCACCCTTTCTGGTCTTGAAGAAGTAGCTGCCAGGTGTGACAGGGCCACAACAAGTCCAGGACCTAACGCAGCCTCTGGGAGCTGAGAGAGACTTCCAGTGACAGCCGACCAAAAACTAGGATCTCGGCCCTTCAACTCAGTTGCTGGCAGAATTGAATGAGCTTGGGGAGGATCCTGAACTCCTGGTGACAAGCCAGCCCAGTGAACATCTTGATTTCAGGCTTGTGAGACCCTGAGCAGATAACTCAGGTGCACCATGCTTGGTCTTCAGACCTACAGAAACTGTCACATAATAAGATTATTTTAAGCTACTGAGTTTGTGGCAATTCGTTAGGCATCAACGGGAAACTAATCCAGATAATATGGCTGAAGTCCACAGTCTTTGGACAGATTCAGATATAAAGCCTCGTACATCTACGACATTTTCCAAACTAAATTTTATATAACACAAATATAGGGAGATGTTAATAGATGTGTCTCAAAAAAAGGAAAACTTTTATTGCAAACCCTGATGTTTATAGATGCTCTACTGCTGGGGCAAGGAGACAGTTTTGTTTTAAATAGTAACCAATAGAAATAAGCTGGATAGCTGAGGTAGAAGACAGTTTATGGGAAGGCTGTAGTGGAGGCTGTGGGATCAAGGAGAAGACTGAAGAAACTGTCTCAGAATAGACGGGACCCTGGGGTCTCACTAAGAAAAACTTTGAGGGCCCCATTGCCATCAAAATAAAAGAACCTCCCTCCCACTGTCATCACATAACTCTGCTCGGGGTTCAGTCTCAAGGAAGTGTGACTGGCCTGACAGTTAGCCAGGCAACAGTCGGACATCTGAATTAACAGACCTTCCAAGATCCACAAGATTGTTCCTCAAGGCTGACTGTACCACAGGAGCGAGACCACCAAAAGCAGAGGGAGTCCACAAAGATGGGTCTGGCTTGTAAATTTAGGGTATTATCTGGGCACTTCTCTCCTTTGTCTAAGTGCCCAAGGAAGGGCAAATCACTGTTACAACAAAAGGGGAAGAGAGAAAAAAAGGTGAAGGATTGGGAGCCCCTAAACTCCAAAGTTTTAGGAGAGAGGGCAGAGGAGGTAGAGACGAGATGGTTGAAGGCTGTGCAATGTGACCATCCCCTGTGAAAACCAAGATTTTGGACAGGTCGGATGCTCTGTGCAAAGGATGGAGGGGCTGAGCTTTGTGCCTGTGCAATGAGGATGCTGACCCAAGAAGGCGTAAGCCCCGGGAATTAGCAGAAATTATAAAAGAGCTTCTGACTTTCACTGCCATGGAATCGACTGGGGTCTGAGCCTTAGACCTTCTGAGAAAGGGGGCCCAGCTGCCCCTGAAGTGCATGAGCTTGGCACGCAGGGAAAGCTACATCTCCTCTTTGGAAACTCATAATCAAATGAGCATATAAAAGGTTCTGTGCTCTGTTTGGGCATTTCTACTTAATATTGTTCTATCTGTCGTGGTTGCAACGGGCTTATTCCTGCCGGTGTTTGCTCAGTCCAGTGTGTTCTCACTAAATGCTGCGTTACTGAGGGAGTCCTGTGGTAGCTCCAGAGTTTATTTGCTGTCATGCATCTGCGTATTCTCACTGTAAGTGATCAGATGGTGTAAGAATTGGTCTGCACACTTACACCTTTTCATGAACTGATGTATCTTGATTTACTATATTTTACCCTTATTGCCTAATTTGTAAAGATTTTCATGTGTCATTTATTTCTTCATTTATTCGTACCGGTGTGCCAGCTACCATTCTAGGTCCTTGGGGTTCATTGACAAAGAAAAGGGGCTAAGATCCCTGCCCCTCATGGTGCGTGTCTTATACACACACACACACACACACACACACACACACACACACCTGCGAAGCCCTACAGTTAAAAAAAAAAATACGTGGGGACTGTTTCAGACCTCGTCCTAAATTTATTTGGACAGAGATGGTTTTTTTCAGTCTGCTTACATTTGGTTGAGTCGTGTGCTATATAGTCTAGCACTCTGGGAAATGCGTTGGAGACCTGGCTGGGCTGTGTGCTTCAGGGAAAACACCCATCAGAGTCCTTCAGGCAGGCAGCGGAGAGGTCCCTGATAAATCCTCTGCCAGGGTCTGGGGTGCAGATAACCTTCGTTGCCTCTTAAAAGGAAACTCAGATGCTTCGCTTGCCCGATGAACAGGTGACTTTGGGGACGCCTGCGCCTGTGAGACTGTCGCTTGACAGGCAGGACCAGGACATTTCGAGGGTCCTGGGCACAGTGTTGCTGTCAGGTGTGCCCTGGTGTGTTTCTGGGTTGTCACACTCTTCAGTCAGGCCCCCGGATGATTTATGCCCACCCCCCCGGGGCCCAGCGTGATCTAGCAAGTAGTAAGCACACAACCTGTCCTCTTAGGCCCCGGGGACTTGTGAGAAACCATGCCCAGTTCCCGCCTCCTAGATGGGCTCAGCTGATGGCGTGGTAGGGATTTTTGACCTGTTAAATGTACAACTCTGAAATGCCTGAGGAGAGACTCGTTGTGCCAGTCCCAGCGGGTCTCCTTACTCCCCGGTTACCGCAGAGAGCCGCATGCAATTGCGTGCAAGAGTGGCTGAGTGCCTTGGCGGTCGGTGTATTGATTGGTTTGTTCCATCTGAGATGGAATGACGTGCAGTCCAGAGCCTTTGGGGTTACAGATGAACTGGGGTGAGAAAGGGAAAGGAGGTGGGGTGATATCTCCTTTGGGCGGGGGGGGGGGGGTGACGGTCTGAGATGCTGTCTTCCAGTTGTTTTGAGGTGAGATAAGATGCCGGAGAGAGATGGCTGACATATTAGTTGTCTTAGTGATTTTTAGGGCTGACCCAGAAGAGCCTTGACCCTGGGTCCCAGGAGCAGAAACAGCCCCTGGTCCTTTGAGGTTCTGTGCTGTGTGTTCCCTGTACTTTGATGGGGACAATCTCTTACACACAAGACTCGGTATAATTCACTCATCCTTCCTCGGAACTTGCGTTTGCAGCCCACTGCTCCGTCCGCTCCTCCCTCACCTGCCAGTGGGGGATCCAGGGCCCCAGGAATTGGCAGGACACTTGATGGGGGGAGGGGTGTCTGGATAACTGTGTGGAGCAGAGTGCTCCCCACCCCCACCCTTGACTCATATTGGACCGAGGAGTGTGACACACCCTGTGTGTGTTGTTACGGCACTGACATTCTGGGGTTATTAGCTTATCCTCTCTAATAACAACACCGCGTTCGGGCTCAGATATGGGTAAAGGCAAGAAACTAAAATCTAAGAAGAGCTCAGAGCTGCTCCCACCTACCTGGCGGACCATGGGTTTTGACTGGGGAGACGGGGGTGAGGAGCTGTGGTGCTCCCACTCCTGGAAGGTGTGTGTGTAGGAAGTGGTACTGCAATTAAGGTCTGAGAAACTGGGACCTGGGAAGGTAGGAACAGAGGGTGGGGAACCAGAAATGAGGAGACCAGAGATGAGTGGCTTTTTAAAAACTTGTATATGAACCACACTAACCCTCACACCCCAGTCCAGTGATGGCAAACCTTTTGAGCTCGGCGTGTCAGCATTTTGAAAAACCCTAACTTAACTCTGGTGCTGTGTCACATATAGAAATTTTTTGATATTTGAAACCATAGTAAACCAAAGATTTATATTTTTGATATTTTATATATTTAAATGCCATTTAACAAAGAAAAATCAACAAAAAAATGAGTTCGCGTGTCACCTCTGACACGCGTGTCATAGGTTCGCCATCACTGCCCTAGTTAGTGAGAACGGCAGTCGGACAGAAAGCTCTCACCCTGCAGTCCTGGGCAGCTGATTGTGTGTAGGGGGGAAGGGAAGGGGGTGCTTTCCCAGGGAGAATCTGGTGGAGCACTGGGCTGCCCGCTGGGCTCTGGGTACCAGCCAGAGGGACTCTCTGGGCTGGACTGGGGCTGTCACCCTGGCAGCCACGGGCCACATGTGAAACCAGCAAGGCACCACTTCGTGTCCAGCTCCTTTCACCATCTCCCTGGGAATGCCAAGCCAAACACACACGTAGGACGTCTGTTTTCCGTGTTCTTCCTTTGGAGCAGCAGAAGTGGTGGTTCTGTTTGAGACAGGAGAAGAGGAAAAGCCAGATATGAGCTCAGAGTTTGAGAAACCTGTCATGTTTCTGTTGTAGCTGCTGAAACTGCTCCTGTAATATTTACTCCTTTGTGGTTTTTCAATGAAATGAATGAGTTTCTTTTTTTTAGGCAATTTTTTTAATTTAACTTTGTTGAAAGTATTACAGATGTCCCCTTTTTCTTCCACATGGACTCCCTCCTCCCTGCTTCCACCCCTCCCTGGGCCCTTACCACCCTTTTGTGTGTCATATATACATACATACATACAAGTTCTTTGGTTGATCTCTTCCCACCCATCCACACCCCCACCTTCCCTCTGAGATTCAATAGTGTGTTCTATGCTTCCATGTTTCTGGATTTTTTTAATCAGTTTATTTTGTTCATTAGATTCTACATATGAGTGAGATCCTATGATACTTGTCTTTCTCTGACTGGCTTACTTTGCGTAGCATAATAGTCTCCAGGTCCCTCCATGTTGTCTCGAAGGGTAAGAGATCCTTCTCTGTCACAGCCGCAGAGTATTCCATGTTGTAAATGTGCCAGAGCCTTTTTAGCCACTCGTCTGCTGATGGGCACTTGGGCTGCTTCCAGATCTAAGCTATTGTCAATTGTGCTGCTATGAACATAGGAGTGCATACATTCTTTCTGGTGGGTGTTTGGGTTTCTTAGGGTATATTCCTAGAAGTGGGATGGCTGGGTCAAATGGCAGTTCCATGTTTAGTTTTTTGAGGAAACTCCACACTGTTTTCCGATTTCAATTCCATGTACTCCTCTAGCCTAGGATTTCCCCATGAACTACAGACCATTTTCCCCACCCATGTCCTGGACATCTATCTCCACTTAGATGTTGGTGGCCGCAGATTCAGCATGTCCCCTGCCCCAGTCACACTTCCCTAAACCTGATCCTCTTCAACTCTTCTCCCTGTCTTCCCAGTCTTAAATGGCACACACTGTTCCCAAATTTCTAAGGGGCCCTGCTTTTTAAGGGGGGTGCCTTGTCAAGTTAGAACAGGCCCATCAAAATGCCCATGTTCCTGTCTGGGGAACTCTCCAGCCAAGCCAGAGGGAATATGCGCACAACCCTGAGCTTTGTAACCACAGACATTGGTAACAGTGCACGGGAAGTCCTCAACGTTGTAGCTAGGCTCTGCAACTTTAAGTGGAAGTACACTTCATAAACCAGGGCTTCCACCAGCTAAGTGATATAAACCAGAGTTCCTTCCTATGGCATCTCACCAACATTACAATAATATGTTTAACGAAACGGCATTATTCGAGGGCCTGTTGTACAAAAGTCATTCTTCTCCTATTTCAATACAATTTATTTAAAGAACAGGCCACTCTCTTCCTTGTTCATCTCTTCCCTTCAGGGTAGTTACCCCTGGAATATTCTAAGAGTCTGGGCTATGGCCGTCTCTCTCTGTCCATCATCCTCATTATGACCTATGATTAAATAACATTCCGGGTCAGGCCATTCTTATTCTATTATATTCAATTTACTTACTTATTTATCTATTTTTTTTTGCCATAATCATACAGTGTATATTTCTATACTGAATAAAATCTAGCTCTGGAAAGCCTCTTGATCAGAGTGGCAAAAATGACCTCTTTGAATGCCGAACCTTCCTGGTCAGTGGAAACTAAAGAGACAACTAAATGCACTGTGACCCTAGGCTGGGCAGAGAAATAACATTAATGGGACAATGGAAAAATTTTGAATAAGGTCTAAAGGTTAGATTACAGTATTGTATCTATACAATCTATGTTAATTTCCTGATTTTTATCATTATACTGTGGTTATACAAGCAAATCTTGTTTTTGTAGAAAAACACCACTGAAGTCTTTAAAGAGGCATTATGTCTGCAACTTCCCCTCATATATTCCAGGGAAAAAAGTGTGTGTGTGCACGTGTGTGCACACACACTTGGAGAGAAAGGGGGTGAATGGTAAAGCAAGGTAGTAAACCATTATTTGGGCAATCTTTTTTTTTAAATATATTTTTATTGATTTTTTTATAGAGAGGAAGGGAGAGGGATTGAGAGTTAGAAACATTGATGAGAGAGAAACATCAATCAGCTGCCTCCTGCACACCCCCCACTGGAAATGCACCCACAACCAAGGTACATGCCCTTGACCGGAATTGAACCTGGGACCCTTCAGTCCACAGGCCGACGCTCTATCCACTGAGCCAAACCAGTCAGTATTTGGGCAATCTTGAAAGGCATAGGTCATAGAGCAACTCTTGTACCATTTCCCCCACATCTTTTGCAAGTCAAATTATTTCAAAATCAGAAGTTTTTAAAAAATTATCTTGACAGGTGGGAGAGCTAACCAGGAGGAGATCTCCAAACTTGGAATACTTCTGGGCCCTCTGAGTCCAGTCTGTTCCAAACCCAAGTCCGATTGTTGGGTTTCTAAGGACACTGAGTTCTCCTCTTCCTTCCGGCCAGATTTCCCCTAAAGTCCTGTCACTTAGCAGAACAGACAGAATGTTTTCTTCTCCTGGCTGACCTCCCTGGTTACCTGAAAGCTCAGGTCTAGGTCTTTTCCCAGATTCCATCCTGCAGCAGCCTCTGTGGAAGCCTGCGTTCCTCTTTGATATGTCACTGTGATGCACTTTTTCTCTCTACTGAAGAGCGAGATGCCGGGTTGATCCACTGCAACATGTGTCAGTCAGGATAGAGTAGGTTATGCTGCAGTAATAAGCTGCCCCTGAAGTTTAGTTTACTCAACACAATAAAAGGCGATTTATCACTCATGCTACATATGCAGTCTGGTGTGCTAGGGGTTTTCTGCCCCTCCATTAACCAGGCTTCCTGAGTGACTGAAGTTTGTTTCTAAAAGAGACGAATGTTGCTTACACTTACACTTCACAATCTTACATTGTGTGAGAAGAGGTAGATGTATTTGTAACATCCCTGATGATTCTCACAGTGCTGCCTCTTAGCAGTTAACAGAGTGAGAGACATTGGCCAAGAGCATTTCCTCCTCTGAGACTTTCCTGCCCTTGGGCTCCCTGTCCCCCAGCTCCCAACTGTGACCGGCAGAGGCTTCCGTCCTGCCCTAGCATCCTTCTGCTATTGTTACCTTGTGATTTTGCCTGTTGGATATATTTTTATGAACGCCACAAATGCTTATTGGACGCCTACATCAATAGGGGGCACCTGTCCTTCGTCAGACACTGTCTCAGGTTCTGGGAGATAAGGATCAGTCGCACTTTGACTCTGCCCTTGTGGCGTTTCCTGACTGGTCATGAAGAGAGAGAAGAAAACAGACTCTTTAAATTTAGAGGGCAAAGCTAAGCACAGACACTGGACCTTCAGAGGGTGAGAAGAGACCACCTGATCCTTTTGGGGAGAGGGAGGTGGAGAGCGGAGGGAGGAAGTGGGAGACAGCCCTCTGCTCCATATAAATGCTGCCCAGGTTCTCCATTTGTCATTCTCTCTGGCTGAGAACAGGGCAGATGATGCCAAATGTGCCAGTGGGTGGAGTTAGAAGTAGTGGTTTCAGGGCTATCAATGTGATCTGTTTGGCACAAAAGAAATATTAGGCATCCGCTGTAATACTAAGGTTAATTCTACTTACGTTTGGGTAATACTTTATAAATCAGGTTCCCCTGAAAATCACTGGCTCCTTTTACAGATGAGGACACTGAGGCATATGACTTGTTGGGGTCCTTAAAGGTCCAACTGCACAACTTAGAACCCAGGGTCCTGATTCCCCACCCGGCATGTTCCACTGCGCCATCCGGCTGTGACCTTGTTGGAGACCCTGCCTGCCCGAGCATCCCGCAGTCGAGCCGTGAGTTATTCCCGCTCCTGTGATGGATGTGGTGCCGTCATGTTGATTTCATCACAGCCTCGGTCGTGCCTGAGCAGGTGACTCTAGAGCTCCCTGTTCTCTGGCTTCCTGTTGGACTAGTAATGAGAATGAGCAATGGAAGATAAGAGCAACCTTTCCGGGGTACCATATATACTCCAGGAGATCACAGCTGCCAAACAGATGCTCTGCTGACTCAGAGCTGCCAGTGAATAGCCAGCTCTGCGTGATGTAATTGCTGGGAGACTCTGCAGGATGCGAGAGTGAAGAAGGGGCCGGCTCCTCTCTCTTGGCAGAATTCTCTGGTCTGCTGCAGCCTGCAGCCGAGGATGGGATGCTGAGTCTCCGGGACCAGCACGTGGACATGTGAGGGAAGGCCAACCTTCTTATCATTTTCAATTGCTGAAATTTGGAAAGATATCTGGTTTTGTGCTAGCCTTCCATTGGTTAAATGAGATAATGTATGTAGAACCCTTGGCACATGGTAAGTGGGCAATACATGGTAACTTCTGTAATAGTAATAGTTGCAGTAATAATGAATTACTGAAATAACAGGGCAATAGCATTAGAGCAATGACTCTTTAATAATTATGGTAATTATATACATAATAACGGTACAGTAATCAGTGGCCTGGGGTGGGGGTTTTTGTCTGAGTGCTTTTCCCAGTGACACATGATAATAAAAAGCAGACTTGCCCTGGTGAAGTGGTTCAGTCGGTTGGAGCATCACCCATACACCAAAAGGTTGCAGGTTTGATTCCCAGTCAGGGCACATACCTAGGTCTTGGGTTTGATCCCTGGTTGGGGCATGTATAGGAGGCAACCAATCGATGTTTCTCTCTATCCCCGCCCCCCTAAAAGCAATAAAAACATCTTTGGATGAGAATTTTAAAAAAAGGCAGACTCCATCAGAACTCTCTCTACTTTCTTTCCACCTAGTTTTGCTATAAACCTAAAACTGCTCTGAAAAATAAGATCAATTAAAAAAATGTTTAAAGCGGAGGAAAAAGAGAGTAGATTGATGATAAGTTGGCGTTATTATTTTTCAGTTCTCAAAAGAATACACTCCTTTGTTGCTTCCACCCATTTCTTCCACCCCACCCTTGGTACATCACCAACAATGACAATGGTTATTTTTAAATTGGCTGTGCAGATATTCAAATAAGTAGCATGTTAAAGAGACAGTCAAGTTGTTAGTCCCATGATGCTCAGTTGGCCAGTGTTTCTCTATACGGAACTGGTATAACTGGCCTCCAAGTACTGCTGGGACTGAAAGCCAAAGGTGCTGGGTGTGTGGCTCCCTCCACTGAGTGAGGCAGGCACATCAGCTCCCCTCACCGTGCGGCTGAGCGGCATGGCGACGAGAGGGCCCCGCAGAGGGCCCCTACCCCACCCTAGCACCCAGGGAGATGTCCCTGATCCACAAAGCAGGGCAAGCCTTGTGCCCAGTGGGTTGGCTTCCTTTCCTTTGCTTAATAAAAGTTCTCTTTCCCTCGAGTAGGAAAATGCCCAGCTAATCAGAGAAGTGGAAGTAGACAGGGTCTCTGCGCTCTCCGAGGACCAGGTGCAGGCCATCAAGCAGCTCTGGCTGGACCCAGGAATCCAGGAGTGTTACGACAGGAGGAGGGAGTACCAGCTCTCAGACTCTGCCAAATAGTAAGTACAGAGCCTCAGCAGGCTGCCCCGCGCTCTCAGGCAAGCATGCTGCATGTACCTCACAGAAGCTTCCCACCTAAAACCGTCAGTCTCCCCGTGGATCCCAGATTTCTCTCCTTGCCCATACCCACCTGTCCCAGCCATGTCCCGAGCCTCTGTCCTTTTCAATGAGGCGAAAGCAAATGTGGTGTTCCCTTGGTGGAACTGATCTCATTTGGGGTGCTGAAATGATCTTAGAGGAGGACTGCATCTGCTTCTGGCTTCTACTTTCCTCCTCTCCACACCTCTTTGCCTTCGGAATTCCTGATCAGTAGACCCAAGGTCCAATTACCCTAAAATCTAAAAATCAGAGTTTAGATCTCAATGCTATAGGCCGGCAGTGGCTGGTCATGTGCTGCCCTCTAGTGGGCAAGACCCAGGGAGGAAGTTCAATCTGGGAGCTCTTGGTTTATTACCAACTTGCAAAGGCCTACACACTTTTTTTTTTTTAATCCATAAAGCTCAAGTTTTAAATGTTATCTTTAGAGTAAAAAAATTACATAGGTCTGCATGCAAAGGGTCCCAGGGAGATGACCAGAATTTTATTTTCTTAAGAATTTCCTGAGGCAGTGCCTCAGCCAGACAAATCACTGGACAATCTGAATCTCAGTCCTTCAAGAGATGATTCCTGCAGCTCAGCTCTTTAACCCTCGGACCATATCACCTTCCATCTTCTGAGGGCTCCAAAGTCCTTTCCCGAGACGTCCCTTTCCCTTCAGGTGCTGTCATTGCCCTCGGAGCTGGTGTGTGTGTGTGGGCAGCGGGGATGCACTCCCATCACCTGGACCAGGCAGTGAGCAGGAGAGGAAGCTGAAATCTTACCTTTGGGGTTGGTCCCAGGCTGAATGTTTAATCCATTAATCCAGGTTCGCACAATTGATCTGAGCTCAGGAACATTTATGTGCAAAGCAGGAAAGGAAATGCAAGGAGTCCCGCTAAGGTGTTGGAACTTCAGAAAAGAGGCAGAAGGAAGGGAGGCAGTTTCCCAAAGAGGAGGGCAGCCTGCGGGTGACAGCTGGGAGTCAGGGACAGCCTGGTCGGCCATGGCATCCCGGCATCTTCCTGGACACAGCCTAGCATCACTTGCTGAGGCTGTTGATGTGGATCCATTTGGAAAAGACCCATTGGAGGCACCATAAAATTCAACGGACCCCTGAAATCTGGGGCAGCAAGTATAAGAAGAACATTGAAAGTGACTAGATTGGTGGACAGAGTTGCAGCAGACAGTTGCCCCGCCTTTGGAACTGGGGAGACTAGAGACATCTATGCATTTTCTTAGGCCAGGTCAGTGGTTGTCATCTGCTCTGCTGGTCACGTCTGATTATTTGGACAGGTATTCACTGCACAAAATGTGAGGTGTACCTGCCACGGACCAGGCACTTTGGTGAGGGTGGCAGGTACAACCAGTGCTCTCTGATGTCAAGGAACATTACTTACACCTGTCTTGTTTCTGGTGGAACTAGACATGTGTAAATAAAAAAACTACATATATGGAAGTCAGTGACGATTAGCCTTGGGGTCACTTATTGGGACACAGGGTAGTTTGCAGTAGGCTGCTGGGCTCGGAATCAACTCTGTCATTTACCAGGGCCTGAGTTAGTTGTTTTACTCAAAAAAAATTTTTTAAGCCTTAAAAAAGGCATTTTTAAGTGCCCTCTTATTTTACCTCAGAAAAATGATATACTGTAAGCTCAGGGATTTCATATATGGCAAAAATAACCCAAGACAAGTTTTGGTTTATTTTAATTTCCCCATGTAACAGGAAAACCTTTCTCATTGTTATTTCGAACTTCCTTTTGGCCTGTTTTATGCTTTGTGTTTTCTTAAAAACTCCAGTTCACTCAGCAAAGTGCCGGAGAGCAGCAGCCTCAGCCAATGTTCTTGGCTGAGGATGAGTGTGGGAGGGGAAGGGCCTTGGAAGGCAGGGGGTTAGACTCTACTTCCTCTTCCTCCGGCCAGTGATGGGCTAGAACCAGTTGGAAGTGATAGAGTGAGCCACAGGCTTCCCGAAGGCTCATGTGGGATCCTTTCCACATTCCTTCTGAAACAATTGCAGGAGGGCTGGCTCTCAGAGTCATTGATGGACCCCAGGAATCTGAGTAGGGGTGGCTCTGAGCTGGGGTGACTTCCTGGAGTGGGATGAACACTTCTCCATTCTGTAAAATGAGTCTCAGCTACTTGTTCTCTGATATTGCAGTTACCTGACTGATATTGACCGGATCGCCTTGCCGTCATATGTGCCGACGCAGCAAGATGTGCTTCGTGTTCGCGTACCCACAACTGGCATCATCGAGTATCCGTTTGACCTGGAAAACATCATCTTTCGGTAAGAATGTCCCCCTGGTACAGTCCATTAAGAATTTGTGCAGGTTTGGAAGTCCCCCAAAGGGTTCTTATCTTTCAGGGCAATGGGCCCTCTCCATCACAGGGTTTTTAGAATTGTGGTTGGTGTCAAGTGCTAGATAGAGAGGAACCCACCTTTCTCTTCACCCTGGATGCTGCCCCTTCTTCCCTGTAAAGATGTAAGTGCCCTCTGTCCCATTTGGGAAAGATGTCAGGGGTCAGGCAGGCCTTTGCACGTCTATAGAATAGCATGCACTTCCGGAGGGCGAGGGGCCCTGTCTAAAGGGATGGCTGCCACACAGGGACACCAGCCGCTGGGGGACAAAATGCAGGCTCACTGTGACCAGATCCTCCAATTAGATAACAAATGTTCTAAGTGAAACAGCTGGTATTTTAAATGTTAACTCAAAAGCTCTTCAAAACACTACGTTGGCCAAAGAGAATACATCTACGTAGCAGAGGCCTGCCTGACCCCTGGATGTAGCATTCAAGCGTGGGATCGATCCTATGGCGACAAGGCCCTGCAATCTTTCCCATGTGCAACAGAGGGCACTTACACATCTTTACAGGGAAGAAGGGGCAGCATCCACCGAATGGAGAAAGGATTTGTGGATAGAGGAAGGAGCAAAGGCCTGGAGGAAGCTGAGTGGACCTGGAAGACTGGCTGCCGTTCTGCCCCTTTGGTGGCTGGTGCCTGGCCCTCCAGTGCGTAGAGCAATGCCCAGGGGAGGCCTGTGCTTTCTGCCTGGACAACTGCAGCTTCTGAACCTGAGTGACCTCTGCACCTGCTTTCAGTAACGTCACTTACACTCCATCCTCCCCTGCTGGGAAACGCCTGGTGGTTCCTCATTGTCGAAAGCAGAGGTGCTCAAACCTTTCAGTCTCAGGACCCCTTTTCACTCCTGAAGATCACAGAGGCAGCCAAGACGTACTGATTTCCATGGTGGAATGAGCACGCCCTCCTCCAGAGCCACGAACCCAGCCTTTGAGACCTGTGTTTCTGTTGGACAGGATGGTGGACGTGGGTGGCCAGCGATCCGAAAGGCGGAAGTGGATCCACTGCTTTGAGAGCGTCACCTCCATCATATTCTTGGTTGCGCTGAGTGAATACGACCAGGTCCTGGCTGAGTGTGACAATGAGGTATGCCAGGTGGGGAGTGTGGGGTGTGGAAGACAGAGACCTATTTTTATAGTTTGCAAAAAGCCAGCTGGATCTGCCATTAGACTCTATGCCTGATGTTAAATTGTCTTGCTACACAAAGTATAGTGTGTGGACTAGAAGCACGGGCGTCACCTGGATGCTTGTTAGAAATGTAGACTGAATACATGAGAATTTGCATTTTAGCAAGGTTCCAGGTGATGCCTGTAAACACGTAAGTTTGAGGATCACTGACCTGGAAACCTGGTTCTTACACTTGGGTGCCACTGGAACTCCATGGGTACCTGACAGAGAAGCCTGGTGGATGGAGTGTGTGGCCTGAGCGTGGCATCTAATCGAATGTGCTCCAGCGGTGGAGCCTCTCAGCCCTGGCTGCACACTGAAAGCCCTCGGGGAGTTTTGAAAAAGTACCATCCTTTGGACCCCACAGCAGAGATTCCTATTTCTGGGTTGGAGTTGAGGTATCTTTTCCAAGTCCCCTAGGCATGCTCATGTGCAGTCAGAGTTGACCAATGCTACTTCTAGCAAACTTTACCTGAGAACAGGCATTCCCACCTGCAGGGCCTCCCCTAGTCCCCAGCTGGGCTGGCTGTTTGGGGGCCTCCTGGAAGGCACGAGCTCGGGCAGCTGGGACTAACCCACCCCGCCAGATGTTCAGTGCCCTCCACGGGGTCCACTACGCTGCCTGGCCAGTGATACTGACCACCACAGGCACTTCTCTGTGAGAATGGGGCAGTTTCTGCAGGATACCCTCATCCTCCCATCGTCTTCCCCACTACCTCTTGACCCTGTCGAAAAATGCCTCTTGCTTCTAGGGCATGAAAGTAAATCAGTCAAGAGCTCTATCCAGGATTAGATAATAACCATGAACAAATAATATCTTGTGTTTCTTGAAAGCAGAATTTTCTCTAAGGAGTACAGTTACATTAGCTAATTAGTGGACGATCAACCCATTTACTAGTGTCATTGTGCAAACAAGAATAGAAGCTTTAGCTGCCACTTAGCTCTTCAGTGGAAAAATTTTTTTAAAAGGAAAGTCCGCGAGTTATCAATAGAAAAAATTAGCTCCAAATTTGTCTCAGGAAACGCAAAAGATTAGTCAGGTGGACAAGAACTTCAGCCTGATGTGCTAAAATAAAACTGAACATTTTCTCCTCTCTTAAAAAACACAGGTATTTGGAGAAAAACAAAGTGGTTGCCACTCTAGACTCTTCCCTCTGGTTGTAGACATGAGTTGCATCCTCTCATTGTGCTGTATAGGCATCATTGTTCTCATATGTTGTAGTTTCTTAGGGGTTATTATTGATAAGATCATAATAAATTTTAAGCTTTAAAAGCAAGAGGGATTTCCTGTCTGGCAATAAATTCCATATCTTAATCCCTCAAAATATATTGAACAGGACTATGAACCCATGTTTCTGAGAGTCGTGGGAAAACAGAAACTTATGGCACATCCCTCCCAAGTATTTCTATTGAGCATAAATTTAGATAAGATTTGTACATGCCCTGTCTGCTCTCCATAAATCAGGAAGTTACTATTTTACTGTCCTGCATAATTTCCACCAGGTCCTACTACTATCCAGGCTTGGGAAAGTATTTAAATGTTGTAAATAAGTATCCTCACCCATACATTAGAGACCCCGCTCCCCTTGCCAGCACACCAGTATCACCTGCATGGGACGTGTGCACATGTGCGCTGGGCCCCTTCTCTCCGGCATTTCTAACGGTGGTGGCCCTGCTGAAGAGCCAGTCTTCCTCTCTTTGTCCCCCGACTTCTGACACAAAGTGTGGAGGCTACACCCAATAGAATGGGTGTCCCAGGGCTGACGCTGTGAACAATCCTAATAATGACACATAAAACTTCTGTCAAATCTGAGCAAGAACCTTCCTTTTCCACGTTGCACAAAAGCCTTTCTGATACCTTACATGTTAATTTGTGCTAGAGTTGAGGGGTGATTAGAGAGGGTGGGGATGGGGGTGTTCACCAGCTCTGGCAAGGACAGTGACCCCCAGACTCCAGCTGGGTAAGGGGGAAGAGGGATAGAACCAGTGATGTGACATGTGTTCCAAGTACTGCTTTTCTTTCTAGTTAACCCTAAGTGCCTCTTTCTCTCCCTTAGAACCGCATGGAAGAGAGCAAAGCCTTATTTAAAACCATTATCACCTATCCCTGGTTTCTGAACTCATCCGTGATTTTGTTCTTAAACAAGAAGGATCTTCTGGAAGAGAAAATCATGTACTCTCATCTAATTAGCTATTTCCCAGAATACACAGGTAGGTCTCCACCTTGCTGACATTAGTACCGAGTTCTAATGGCTCCCAGGGACTAGATGATCTGCCTCTAATGGACTTCCTCACCGTTCCCACCTCCACACATGCTAGCCCTTTGCTAACTCCAGTTTGTTCCCCAGCTCAGGCAAGTCCTCCAACCCTCACCCCATCCCCAGCAGGTGCACCTCCCTCTCTCCCCAGTTGGCCAGAGCACCTGACACTTCTTATGAGTAGGTTAAAGTGTGGCAGCTCCTTTGCAGACACAGGGTGGACACTAGGTTCCTCGTCTACATGATCAATACAAGGCAGGGGAGTTCATGACCCACTGCTAATTTTTGGTACCGTAGGTCTCAAATATTACTAAGTCTGACATTGATATTTAGAGGAGCAGTGTTTTAGAACTCTCCTTTTTCCTTGTACTGTGTTGGCCATGGAGTATAGCACCCACGAGCTTTAAAATCAGACATAGATGCCTAACAATGTTAGTTCCCATATTCTCCCTCTTCCCTCTCCTAACTTACTGCTGAGTTAGTAAGAGTGATCTCTCTTCAAAAGGGGTCCAAGTCAGAAAGCTAACTTGGGACACTGTGCTTCAACACATTGCCTCAAATACAAGTTTTAGGTACCAGGGAAACTATTTCCTAGAACTAAGATAGCTTAATGAAAGATCCCAAATAAGAACAAGAGGACAATGGAATTAATTTGGGGGGGTACCTGGTGGTGAGTGGCATCTTTCTTCTTTATCCCTCTAACTGTGCTTGGAACCAGGACCAAAGCAAGACGTCAAAGCCGCCAGAGACTTTATCCTGAAGCTCTATCAGGACCAGAACCCTGACAAGGAGAAGGTCATCTACTCCCACTTCACGTGCGCCACGGACACGGAGAACATCCGCTTTGTCTTCGCTGCCGTCAAGGACACCATCCTCCAGCTGAACCTGAGGGAGTTCAACCTCGTCTAAACGCTGCTGCCCACACCTCGCCAACCAGAGACGGGATTCACCAGCCCCTCGCTTTCCTTCTGAGAGCTTCTGACATGCGCCATCCCAGCCCCCTGGGGCACTACCGCACCAAGTCCGCCCTGCAGACCACAGGGACAGAGATGGGCCACGGAGCTTGTAAGACATTTGAATTTAGCAAAACTTTTTCAAAGTCTTGATTCCAAAATTGTTTTTATATTTCGACTTGTTAAGATTTTGTGTAGTGATTGAATTTGAGGTTTTATAGAATTTTTTTAAAAGCCATCATAATTTACTGTTTTTTTAAAGAAATAAATTTAAGTGTGTTTGTTAATTTAGAGATCATGCCTTGAAACCACTAGAATTAATTTGCATAACTTTGTTTAAAAAAATAAGTTTTAAGCTTTTTTATTATAGCTTGTAATTTTGAGACCATTTTAAATTGTTTTTCTCTCTTTATGCTGAAAAGTGTGATGCTTTTAACATGCTACCAAAGATTTTTTAAAACGGTTATTTTTTGTGTGCTAACTTTTTAAGTCAAATTAATGACTATGTTGGTATCTAATTTGGTTTTCCACATTTGGATCACCATGAAGCCAAAGCTGACATAAGGTAAATGGGCTCCACATAGCACCCATGTTATCCTGGTGAAAAGTGTATATGACCAGGCCTTATAAACTTATGAAATGGCTAAAAGCCCCAACTGTTTAACCAATGTAATGTAACCCTGCCAGAGGTCTGATGGCCATCACAGATGTGCTGTCTGCACCACGTGGGCCGTGCCTTTCTGGGGAGGCTAAGAATACACCATTCTGCCATTAGCATTGTACGTTGTGTTTCTTTGAGCTCATGGTTCTGCTCCTAAAAAGAAAAATGCTGTCACCTAACAGTTAACTACTCAGAAACTTCCTACATGTCCTTGTGGACGAGGAAATGTAATTTTGCCCCTACCTTCTTGGTTTTGGGCTGGGACCTGTTCCTATAATAGGAGAGAGATTAGCAGGAGAAAAGATTAATACATGCCTGCCTCCTGTAACCATGGGAGACACCCAGGGAAACTGAGTCACTCCCTGAAAATAGCCCAAACCATTGTTGGTGGGTGGGAAAGGCCTGTTACCATGAAAAGCACAGTAAACGGGGTAGGGTTGCTTTGCAGATTTAAGTTGGTGCCTTCTATGAGTTTCATCTACTGTAGAGTCGTCCTCTTCCAGGTATGGAGAGGGAGACACCCTTACACATGGACATTTCTCTTACAAATGTCAATTTCCTCTATGAAAGGGTCCCTACTTCTACATTTCACAGTTTTCCTATGTCTCCTATTTCTTAAAAATAATCAGCTCAAAAAAAACCCCTTATGCCAAAGCGGCATATTCTGGGTGGTGCACTCTGCTCCCCTGCAGTCTTACCTCTGACCCTCCACAGGAAACCAACAGTCCAGAGGCTGAGCTGATGAATAGTTAGGTTGTGTCCTTGGATGGGTCTCTTAATCTTGAGAAGAGGTCTGTTCAGTTAAATGGCTGTGTCTCATTTCAGGAGGCAGTGTTGCAGGTGGGCTCCCGAAGTGAGACCTATAGGGTGGGAGCACTCAAGATATTTAATAAAACGTGTTTCTGTGGAAACAAAGGGTAATAGTTGGAGCAATTATAAATGCATGCTGAGCCAGTCATAAGGTCTTTAGATGAAGCATCTTTTGCAGTTTGAATGTCTCTGATGCCACCGGGTGTTCTGTCAACTTTCTGAGTGGCCCACACAACAAGCACAGGGAGTGTCCAAACAGGAGTCATTGGCATGATTTCTAGGAATTTCATAAAATTTGTTCTTAGTGATTCTAAGTCAATAGAGTGGGGGGAAAAATTGGAAATGCTAATTTGTAGAGTTGTAGCCAGATTACCTGAGGAAACTAGAACTCAGGATCCAGCCCAGTTTACAGGTAGAAAACGAAACCTCAGACAGTTAGCAGGACTAGAATCAGACATCCCAAGATGCGTTATAGTTTCTACTGAAGCATCATTTTTCTCTCCATAATCATTATCCCCATGTTTACCAAAGATAATTAAGTACACTAATTTGTTTGCAAAATAAATCTAGTCTTAATAAACTTGGTCTGATGGTTTACATAAGTGCAACAAGAATAGTGATTGACCAGATATAGGCATTTAAAAATCTGCTTTGCTGGAACTTTTCATAAGGAATCTCAGATAGGACTTTTTAAAATCCTCTCAAGGCTAGGAGCCAAGTTTGGCCTCAAACTTCACCTGCAATAACCTATACTATGTCTGGGTTATTTCCTCTCTTATCAAGGTCCCCAATATATCCTGATGCTCCTGCACCTGCCAGGAAGTGGCCATCCTTTCTTACCCGATAACGCTGACAGCAGCCCTATAAGCAAGGTGCCAGGAAGCTTTTCCAACGGGCTTTATTGAAACTCCTCAACACTGCCTGGTCATGCATGATTCTTGGCACATTTTCAAATGTGACGTTCTAGTCAAAGCCTTGGTACTAAAAACAATGTTTCCAATTGTGTCCTTTTACAAGGAGAACAGATTCTTGTTTAACTTGTGCAAAAATCTATGTGTTCATGAAAACAAGAATACATACTCAGATTTTCCAAATTCTGGGGGAATCAGGGAAATGAGTAATTGTTTCATCTTGTTCACAAAGGTGTACTTACCAAATTGCTGTAAGTCATAGATAGTTTAGCAGAAAAGGAAAGTTTCTTTAAACCTGAAAAAACAAAACATTAAAAAAGTTATAAAAATTATAGTCATCCTTATTCTTTCATTCAGTCCTAGATAATAAATTTGTGTTGATCTTGATATTTTATGAGAAGTTTTTTGAATCCACTTTTTCCTGAGAATTTTCTTGGTTAATTCTTACCCAGTTCAGTGGTATGATCTGAAAGTTATCAGAAACCTGTCCTTTTCAGAGTCCTTTCCATGAATCTCCCTGAAGAAGAAACACTTTTGCAAAAGCAAAACAATACTTTCTATAGATGGCAAATAATTTAAAAATGGCCATAGTTAAAGAGCTGAGGACATTTGGTTGTTTCTGTGAAATACATTTTATGAAAATACCTAGAGTTACAAGTGATAACATTATACTAGGGCATATCAGATTTCCAGGAACTTCATACAATTTCTGGAACACATTAATAACATGTTTCCCTACAAATATAACTTAAAATATTTTTGCATTACTTATGTACCAATTCTGCCCATGTTATACAACAAAAGCCTAATTAGTATCTTTTTTTTATTTTTTCAAGGAGAGAGTAATCTGAGATGTTCTAGGGATCCTTTGATATGTTCCAAGTTCAAAGTAAAAAAAAAACTTAATATAGAATTTGATTTTTCAGTTTTTCCCCAAATATCAGAAGTTTTGGATACTTGACAGTAGGATCATAGACCATTATGAAACAACTAGAGGCCCAGTTGCATGAAATTCGTGCACTGGTGCGGTCCCTAGGCCTGGCTGGTGATTGAAGTGCAAGCATCTGGCATGGAAGGGCAGGTCCCAGCTGACCTCTGGGCCCTGGGCAGCACCTGGGCTCCCAGGTGCCTGCATGCCCCCCCTCCACCTGAGTCACGGTGCCCGAGTCCCCACATGGAGATGTGGTGAGCGCGGCCGGACTCCGCGAGCCAGGGAGTAGTGTGGGCCTCTAGGCCACCCAGCAGTGCTGCACGGAAGCCGGGTGGGCAGTATGCTCTCTCCTGGTTTGCCTCGCAGACCGGCTTCTGCACGAGCCCACAGGGAGCCCAACTGGTCCCAGTGGCTGCGGCCCAGCTCACCCAGAAGAGGCCACGCGGGTGCAGGGCAGGCTCTTTGTAGGCGCCCGGTACCTGAGCGTGGGGATTACCCCAGCACACGAGCCCTGGCGTTCAGGGGGAGGGTAGTTGGGGAAGTAAGAGTGAGTTGGGCAGACACCCTGCATTCTCACCACACCTCTGTCCCTGTAAACCCCGCCCCCAGGTAGCTGGTGAGATGTCACAATCCCTTGCTCGGGCACCATGGGAAGTTGGTCACTGCCACCCACCCCAGTTCCCCATCCCAGTCCGGGGCCCGGCCCCGATCAGGAGATCAGGGCCTGCTGGCCATCACTGCTGGTTGCCACCTGCAGGGCAATTGATCGAGGCTGGGCCCCCCCACCTGGCTCCCTCAGTACCTGGGAGTTGAGTGGTGGCCCCGCCCCCTGCTGCCACTGCTGGTGGTTGCCGTCCGTGGGGCAATCAGGCCCCCACTCATACCCGCCTTGGCCTGGCACCGCCCACTCACCTGATCCACCATCCCGCCTCAGTCCCGCTTTCGTCAGGGCCCATCGGGGCTGGCAGTGCCTCCAGCGCTGCATCCCGACACCTGCCATGTTCCGCGCCGCCCCCTAGTGGTTAGTGCACGTCATAGCAAGCTATCAAACTCCTGGGGGAGAGGACAATTTGCATTTTAGGCTTTTGTTATATAGGATACTTAATTACCTATTTATCCAAAGTGACAATAAAATATTTTAAAGGCAAATAAAGAAAGTTACACAGTTGTGAGCAAAACTTAGCTCTTATTATTGAGAAGACTTGGTTTTCTTAAGTAATCAAAAACCGGGTGATAAAGATAACATAAAGCACACAATCTATACTAATAAAAGGGTAATATGCTAATTAGACCGGGTCGACAGGCCATCTTCTGGACGTCTGATTTCCTTCTGGACAAAGCCATGGTGGTGGGTGCCGAGGCAGAGGCAGTTAGGGGCAATCAGGCCAGCAGGGAAGAGCAGTTAGGGGCGACCAGGCTGGCAGGGGAGGGCAGTTGGGAGCGACCAGGCCGGCAGGGGAGGGCAGTTGGGGACGACCAGGCCAGCAGGGGAGGGCAGTTGGGGGCATTAGGCAGGCAGTCAGGTGAGTGGTTAGGAGCCAGTGGTCCTGGATGTCTGACCAACCAGCAGTCGAACATCCCCTGAGGGCCCCAGATTGGAGAGGGTGCAGGCCGGGCTGAGGGACAACCCCCCCCCCCCCGCCCCATGCACGAATTTTGTGTACCGGGCTTCTAGTTATTTTAGTAAAACACAAAATCTTTGCTTTCTTAGGCAAATTACCTAAAAGTGGAAAACCCTTCACAATCTTTTATCAGGAGCAGACCAATAGTCCAAGACAATCCTGTGAACAGATGGAAGAAAATAAAGTTTCAGTTTTACATTAAGTACACTACTGATATTAAAGCTTATCTTTAACACTAGATTGCCCAAGGAAGTCATTTTGACTGCTTTTTAATTTCAATTAGAAAAACAATTATGTATATAAGGACACAATGTCTTAGAATTTTGTGACTTTTTGTACAACATATAAATGTGTTTATTAATAATTGTAGTTACCTCCCCCCTCCTTCATTTCCGGTATATATATATATATGTGTGTTATACCTATATTGCCCAAAAGCAGTTATTTTGACTGCTTCAGAAATTTTAAATAATCAAATGACTCTTATTATTGAATTGAGTAAATTTCTTATATGACCAGTTCGGCTCTGTATTGAAATAACAGTTTTCATTTTTTTTTCGATTACCGTCACATGATAACATACAAGTACATGATAAATTGTTGATACTTGATAAGTTGCAGTTGCTCAATAAGCTAAACTAGTACTTGTTATTCGAATCTTTATGCAGTGATACTTGTTCTAATAAGTTGTTTATTTTATTTCTTTTGCGCCCTAAATTCATGAAAGAAATGTCGCATAGAAGTGAGTTATTGGAAAAGCTAAGGAACGTAAGTGAAGAGTGCTCCGAAATTATTCTTTCACGATGCAGTCATTTTGACTGCTTTTGGGCAATATAGGTATATACTAAGGGCAATATAAGTTAAACCCTTATAATAAATTAATCCCACTTTAGCTACCTTAATAACACAAGGTTCCCTCTCTTACTTCCAAACTTTCTATAATCCATTATTTTGTCCTTTATCCTCCTCTTTGCAATTTTGAAACAGCTGGTTGTACTTCAGGAAAAATTACTCTCTTTCCCTTAACAAAAATTCATCTCTGTACCTGGTACATTTTTTAACCAAAACACATCTTACTTTCCATGCATACAGAGATGTTGCCTTTACTAATTCTACAGTTTTAATTACATATAATAATTAGAATTCCCAACCTTTGAAATCTTAATTTCTATTGAAAACCAAGAAGTTAGCAATTTTGAACTGCTACACACCATTATGTAAATTGGCAAATTTCTTAGCATTTCCTAATTTCTTGAAGCATATGCTTCTTCGTAGTACAATTTTCAATGTGGCACAAGACATGTTTACTCACAGACCCAGAAATGTTTAGTTTCTTTGTAGTAAGAAGCCAAGAGTAGATGAAACTATATTCAGTAATTCATGTTTTAGTACTTTATCTTATTTGAAAGTGATCTACATATTGAATGAATTTCCATCATTTAACTTAGCAAAATTTTAAGGGTTCAAGTTACCAAACAGATTTGGAAGCTATTTTTAAGTAGACATGTGTTTTGAAACTTCCTAATTATTTAAAGTTCATTGCACTTACATCTATTTAATTCACTTGGTCTTAAAAATCATATTTAGATTACTCCTAAAAATTTCTAGTTTTTTTTTCTTCAGATGAAAAGGAAATTTGTATTTCAAAGAGTTGGCTCTCAGGTCCTAAAGAAGATGGGGGTAGAAAATTTACATCTCAAAACCACAAAGAAAGTATCCAGTTTTCTCTAAGGAGTTTTGGTGTTATTTCCTATTTGACTAATAAACCTTGGTGGAATAAAAGTTGTATGTCTGCATTATATCCAATTCTGAGAAATCTGAACACATGCTCATTTGATTTAAACCAACTTAATTTATAGAATATTTCCCCAGATCATTATATTAGAAACTGTTTGGGTTTGTTTCCATATTTCTGAGAATCTAGAAATACTTATTTCATATAAGTGCACATTTTTAAGCCAAATGAATAGAACTATTTTACAAATTAATTTTGCCATACCATCTGGAGGTAGAAAAATATGACACATTGACAATATACATATATAGACATATATAAATGTATAGACAGACACACACAGAGACCTTATTGCTACTGTTACAAAATTTTAACCATAAATCAGGTATATTTCCAAGTATTAGGTATCTAGCGTCATTACCTTTTAATTTTTTCCTCTTCTTAAGGGCAGGACAATTTGGTTAGCAGTGACCCAATCTTTTACAATGTCTACAAACATTGGTTTCTACCAGTCCCTGAACATTGCCTTCCAGCTGATCCATTTCCTGATGATTTGTAGGAGGGTCTGGGAGACATTCCGGTCCTCTGTGAGGGCGTTTCCCTAGGAGCTGCCTGGCTTGTCTGCTACCTACAGTATAATCATGGGTGGGATGAACACCCCTGAGCAGCCCATCAAGGCTCCTGTGAGTGGGCTTGTGAATGGCCACTGATCTCTCTCTATTCTAAATCTTGTAGGATCTTCTGAAAGTGTAATTTCATCTTGTTATGAAAGTCCCTAAAGTTGGATGCCATATCCTTTCATGTCCTATTTTCAACTTGTTCATTCCATAGGTACAAATGTTTAGAAAGCAAGCTCTCTAAAACATTAAAATTTTAACTATAGAAGTTTCTTCAATTTAAAGGATCCATTGCCTAGCCATTGATAAATAGGATCTTTGATGGTATATTAATTTCAATAGCAACTCAAACCAATAAGCCTTTTTATGACTTAACCATGGACACAAGAGGCATTCCTAAAGAGGATGCAAAAGATGCAGCCCTCACAAGATCCAAAAGTTCACTCCCAGAGACAAAAAGGCCCATTGTGGACCGGGACCCCATAAGACGTTGTAAACTCTCCGGAGAGCTGGCACTGTGGGACCAAGAGGATGCTGCTTACCTTGTTGTGTGTCTGATTCCCAGCCTATTCGGTTGGCTGCTAGAGACAAGCCCATACTGGCATCTTCCGGCTGGTGGAGACCACAGAGTATTCTTGAACTGGTCAAAAGGCCAAGTTCTTAAGACATAGATTAAGACAGGAGGAAAACCTCATCTGGCCTATGGTTTTCCTCCTTATGACAAACAACACAAAAGACAGAGATAACAGAAAACATCTCTGGGAGGGGAGGGATCAATAGAAAACGAGTGTATAATAAAATCTTTACCAACATCTATACCCAAGGGACTAGTTCATATAAATATTGTTTCCTGCTTACCTAAATGATGAGAAGGAACGGGCAGATGATTTTTCCCGTCCTCTCTCCATGGGGCAGTACAGAGATTCGGGAGAGCAGGCTTCTTATCCTTGGCTGCTTCTGCCAGTGTTCCAGGGTCCTGTCTGCAGGCTCCAGAGCAAGAGTGGCGTCTCAGAGGGTCCCCTCATGAGTTGCCAAACTGTATGTGAGGAAAAATGATTCCCCCCCTACCCTTTTAGGTCTTGACCCCATCCCTGCCTAATAAAAGATTAACAGGAGAAAAACAGAAGTTTAATAAGTACCCCTGTGCTATATATAGGTTGATCTACCTATAACTCCTTTATACATGAGAGATACCTGGGAAAATTGAGTAACTCCCCGAAAATGGCCAAGCCATCTCCTTACTTTCTTCAGCTAAAGACACAAGAAAGATGTTGGCTGGGTGGTGGTGGGGGCTGTGGGGGCAGGGGGGAGACCAGTTAAGGGAGGTTACTGGGAAAAGCACAGTAAACAATGGTGAGGTTGTTACGTGGATTTAAGTTGGAGCCTTCTCCACTGGTAAGAGTTTCTTGATTTAGAGTCATCCTCCTCCAGGTACAGAGGGAGACACCTTTACAAATGAGATTTCTCTTCTAAATGTAAATTTCTCTTACAAAAGGATAACTTCTACTAGGTTTTCAGAGCTGTGTTTACAGTTTCTTAAAAATAATCAGCTCAAAAAATCCTTAGGCCAAAGAGGCATATTTTTGAGGTAGTATATTCTGCTCCTTTTCAGGGCAAGCCTGCATTCATTCATCATGTTAATGTCGGAATTCCCTGACTAGCTGGCTCAGAAAAGAAGAAGCAGAGTCGCCTGGAAAGTGCAGAGTACTTCACACCAAAGGCCCAAGATATTTCTGCTTTTTACTTGAAGGTGTGTGTGTGTGTGCACGCGCGCACACACACACACACACAAGCACATCAGGTGGGGTTTAGGGTATCACACGTACTATCTCCAATCAGTCTACAAGACATACCCAGATTAGTGAGGTGTGCTGTGGAACAGTGTGTCGGTGTTCCCGGAATGGTACTAAGTCTTCTATCAGCAGTTAGGGCAGCTGGGTTCTCATTCTGCTGGAGCTCTTCCAAGTGGGAGGCTATTAAAGGCAAGAGCATCAATGTTGGGAGAGACAGGAATTATGCTGATAGCAAGAGATCCTACTGTCGCAACATTAAGCTTTATAAACTTCAAGAAATGAATACAAATGCAACAGTTTTTGTGAAACCTAAGAAACTGATGTAAAAGTTTTATCTGGAATAGTAAAGGCCCAGAAATAACCAGGAAAATTTGCATGAGAGAACAAAGATGGGAAAATAGCTCTTAAGGATATCTAGAAACAGAAACAAGAAGCAAGACAACGCTGGGTACAGGGAGGGGGGTGGGCACCATGCACTAAACATCATGAACTGCTTCTGATCGCCCAACTAACAGGAAAGGGGCTCAAAAGAATCAGTAATGAGAGGAATTCAAAAAATTTAAGGCACTTTCTAGCATCAAGTTATTGTTATTTTTAACTTACCTTTGGCTGACAAAGCATGCAAGAAGATGATGGCTTTTGATCACTTGTAAGTGCAGGAGGGCTGTCAAATAAATCGTAACCAAAGGTAGTGAAGAATCTTCTTAAGGAAAAGGCTGAACTCTCCATATCAAAGGTGAATTAACTATTTCTGTCAATGTTAATTCTGCAGGAAGAAAATACCCTCCTAGCCCTTCTTTCAGAAGATACTCATTACTTATTGCGGAAATGAGCCATTTGAAGTTTTCTGAGGTTGAGAGGCACAGTCTTGATGCTTTCAAGCTTTTAGCCAGCAACAATCATGCTGGGCTGGATGCTGTCGCTGGCTTTGACTGAAAAATCAGGACCTTGGCAATCTGTTAGATGTCCACACTTATTTAGGCCCCAAAGAGGGTAGGGTTTAGGTAGGCAAGGAAAAGATTATTGGTAATATTTCTAGTTTGATCCAGTTAAGGAAAAACAGAGGAGGACTGAAAAACCAGAAATATTTATTTGACTTAATTTATTTAAAAATGATATACATAATTAAACTGGGCAATCACCTGACCAAGTAATTTAATCCTACCAATAGCAAGAAATAATTATTGTTTAGAAAAATTAGTCATTAGTGAGCATAGCCAACCAAAGGGGGGAAAAGGACATTAATTTCAAAAGGAAGAACTTCATTGTAAACATTTGTGTTTATAAACTATCTTATCAGAATGCACAAAAGCAAAGCAGAGACTGTGTAACAGGCAATCGGGCCAGGAGCCCACATAAAAGGGATAGGGAACACAAGAGTGAAGGAAATACTGCAGATACAGAAAGAGCCATTTAATAAACAAATTATCATCATCAATGACTGTATTTTACCAAAGAATAAGCATTCCAAAGAAGCACTATTTGATTAATACAAAAATTAACAAGTTTTAAAGTGCACATTCCCTGAAAAATTCATTTTTATATGTAATATACATATTTACATCCAGATATGACTATTTAAAAAAGTCTGTGACAATCTATCTGACCTTGCAACAAGCCCCAGATACAATTTCTGATAGTTTGTGAGTATGGATATGAAATTATTGCCATTTCAATGTCATCTACATTTTCACTTGGATGTTTTTCAGTCCCCAAATTGGTAACCTTGGGGTAGCCAATGGGATGCTGGTGGTATGATAGCATATTAAGAAACGTTGAGGTTTTCCAACATTTTCTACTTTAAGTACAGTTATGATTATTAGACTTTTTATTATATCACTCACACAGGGTTTCTTGTTGCAAGGACACCCTTAGGAGAAACACATTATTAAGGGAGCAGAGCAATACTAAATGAATGGTGCTCAGTGACAGGTTGACATAAGTCTATCATAGCAGGTGTTAAACTATAATATAATTTGTATTTGTATAAAGTAAAAAGAATTTAAACACACTCCTAACAATCGATAAAATTTGAAGTTACACCTCTCATAGAGCTCTTCGGGTAACCAAAATTATCTTTTTTGGAAAATGTCATAATGCTTTTTAAAAAAGAATGAATTTGTAATTCTAAAGTAAAACTTTAAAAAAACAATATAGAACAATTTATTTTACAAAGGAGGCAATAAAGTAAAAATTGTTTCAAGTAAAGAAACATGAAGGAGGTTTGTAATAGTGTAGGACTGTCCTACTTTGGGCACATCATGAGAAGGCAGGATTCTTTGGAAAAAACAATGATGCTGGGGAAAACAGAAGGCAGCAGGAAAAGAGGAAGAACAAGTAGGTGGATTGACTGCATAAAAGAAGCCATAGGCAGGAGTCTACAGGAGCTGAGCAGGGCTGCCGAGGACAGGACACTGTGGACATCACTCATTCAGAGTCGCCAGGAGTCAGAGCCAACTCAAGGGCAACAAATCACATAAGACCCAGTATCTTCTCAGTACGTGTGCTGAGCTGCTTGAAGGAGAGCCCTGAAACAAGTACTACTTTATACCAATTGTGGCAGAAAAGTACGGGGGGGGGGAAATCTGCACTAATAGCTGCACTAACAGCCAATTATCAAAAATGTAGATAACAAGAACCATAAGAAATTTAACAGATTAATGCCCACTTGATTAGGTTAGCATTAGCAGGAAGGCATCATTTCAAAGGTGAGGCCAAGAGGGTAAATGCTTCCCTTAAGAATATGGAAAGGAGCTTTAAGTGATAAACAGGGTAGCACCGAAGAAAATCAGGATGAATAAATTGTGTATTGAATACTGCATAAGGAATGCAGGTTAGCTACATTTCCTACTTGAATCCCACAGAAATGAGGAAATCTAATTATTTTCAGCTAAATTGCATTGGCATTTTTATAGCACCCTCCAATGAATGAGCAGTTTGGCCCCGGAAGAATGTAGCCTATGTATACTAGCTCCCTATTTTTAAGGGCCTTTGCTACCTGCATGATGAATCCGAGAGAAGGTAGTTGAAGCAAATTCAAAGAAGAACCTCTGTCTCCACTCCTAGCAAAATGCTTAGTAGGAGGCAGGCTGAAATGCATCAAGTTAATATCCTGTGGCCTTTTGGGGCACTGTTTGTGGATCGAACTTTTCTATTCTTTTTCTGGTCCCACTGATGCCTGGTTTTACACACCATGAAAGGAAAACATTTTATAAACCAAAACAAGAGCTATCCCATATTCTCACTCTAGAGATCAAGAGCGCTCACAATCTGCAGACTCCCTGAGTGGTGGCTCTCTGAGCCTATCTGAGGTCAGGCTCCACACAGTCCAAATGTTTCAACAATCACTGGCCAGCCTGCACTTCCACTTGCAATGGCCTCAAGGTTTTCATTTTTGTTTTAGTTTTGTGTTTCTTTAAACTGCAATTCACAATAGGAAATAACATTTTATATTGTGACCTAGTATACACAGTATATAGAGTATTTAACAATGTTTGATCTTGCTCCATGCACAGCTCTCTTCTTTTCTATTCCACTTTTGAAATACTCAGGGCTTGAGCTGTTAAATTGATTTCATGGACCACTAATGGGTCAAGACTTATAGTTTGAAAAACAGTGCCCTTGAGGATGTTGGTTGATCTTGAGAAAAGGTAAAAAGTAATGGCCCTGGAACCTAAACAGATTTCTCTGAATGGTGTTGGCTGGCACACAAAACACCCACCCTACATGGCTACTTCCACTTTCATGGTGTTCAGCACACACCCTCCAACTTCTACCGGCAAACTGGCCCAGTACCTTCTCCCAGTCTTCCTTATACAGGGGCTCTGGCTTGGCCTGAAGGGTCAATGGATGACTGGATAACTAAGGTGCAGAAAAGTCAGCACTGTGTCTCCTCATTGTTTACCAGACAGAAATAGGACGCTCCTTAGAGGATATTTCCATGGGTGCATATGTGTTCACTGGGATAATATCACTGCTACCCCCGTCAGAAAAAAAATGAGAGAAATAATTATGATAGAAAAAGTTAAGAAAAATTTCTTATTAATTTGAGGCCACAGGATAGTTGGAATGGATTAGGACTGTAGAGGAGAAAAGGGCCAGGGAAGGGACCAGAAAGTAACTCAGCTGTATATACAGATGATGGGAAAAACCACCCGGTCTCACTTGGGAAGGAGCAGCTGACATTCACACTGTAATAGGGGAGTCTTTGGAGACGTGCACATGTTCTTTGGTTCAGAAAGTTATTTTATAGAAGTGAGGAAATCACAAGCTTCTTTTTGTACCAGAAATCAACATTGCTATTTCTAATAATCACAGCTTTCTGGAGAAGAGTTGGCAGGAAACCGAACTCTGCCTTGGGTTTTACACAACAGTCATGGACCAGAATATATGCTGGACTAGCATTGAGGTCCTGGAGCCACAGCTGACACATAATACAAAGAAAGAACTGACCTAAAACTCAGGACCTCATTCCATAGCAACTACTAAACAAGTTTAACATTCTCAACAAGCTTAAAACTTCAAACTACCGAACAACAAGGTTAAAGTTTTCAAATAGAAAGACATTAAGTGTAGTAAAGTATAATTCAGGGCACTGTTTTCAAATATAATAAGATTATAGACTCTGTAACATTCAAGAAAAAGAATATAGAATCAAATACATAATTGTAATGTGTTAACACTAAAAAGATGATGCATCAGATCTACTGTTTCAATGAGAACCACCTAAGACAATCGAAAAACTACTGCTCTTGACATTGTAGGTCTTTCTACTTTAGGAACAGAGGAAGGGACAGGAGGTACTGACAGGTAGAGGACTAGTGAGAAAGAGTAAGAAAAGACATTTGGAGGTTCCTTTTGGTGAGGGAACAGAAGAGGTGTACTAGCTCTGCAAAGGGCGATAGTTACAGGACCCACTCCTGCTGGCCTCCTGAGGGCACCAAAAGACTCTCTCTGCTAGTCTTTCAGGCTTTTGCCCTTTATCATGGGCCAACCAAGGAGTTATGGGCCTGCATTTTTGTTTTTCTGAGAATAAAATCATGAAACTGGAGTAGGTAATGAGGTACTTGGCTAATGGCACTGAATGGAACTCCGGGAGAGCAACAATGCGGAGGAGGACAACCTGCTGGATTTTCTGACTACCTCTGCTCTCAGGTTTAATTCTAATGTCTGCAGAATCAGAAGAGCTCAGCAACAGAGAAAATGTGCCATCAAGGGATCACACAGTATCAGGTGACTTGAAATTTGTCATCTTTCGATTCAATTTATGTTCAGCAAAGAAAAAAACACATTCTGGAGGAAATTATTGATAATAAACAATGCATTTTTATAATAAGAGGAAAATCAATAATAGTGAGTAGCAGGATTTGGTCAGGAATACATATAATTACGGTCTGGCATGCTGTTTATTTTAGCTTTTACAACAAAGCAAAGGGTTTGAGGAACCTTAGGAGCATTTCACAAGTCTCTAGTCCAAAAAACAGTTTAAAAGAATTTCATGGCACATACAACATGCATCAAATACTCTGTATTATTTAATAACTAAGATGCTGTATCATTCTTTTCATGGTTCACAATCACACACTCATCTTCTTTCACTTGAGAAAGCCCATTCATATTAAGGTGTTTGAACAAAAACCAAGGAAAAAAACCCATGACCTTATTTTTACTAATGATTTTTGTTCTGATGAGCTATACTAGGGGTCCTCAAACTACGGCCTGCGGGCCACATGCAAATACAAATATTGTAGTTGTTCCCGTTTTACTTCAAAATAAGATATGTGCAGTGTGCATAGGAATTTGTTCATACTTTTTTTTTTTTAAACTATAGTCCGGCCCTCCAACGGTCTGAGGGACAGTGAACTGGTCCCCTGTTTAAAAAGTTTGAGGACCCCTGAGCTATACATTTGAAAGAATGATTCTCATTTGAATAACTATAGAGAAAGCAAACTGTAAATTTTCAATCTGTTACCAACAGGACAGGTTCCTGGGTTAGACTGTATGGTGCATACCTATATTGTGAGAGGGGTTATCTGGTCTGAAGCATAATTCCTATTTAAGATGGTGGGAATTTTGTTTATTTCATCATTAGCAGTGAGTAGAAAGTGGGCATTGTTAAGGCTTCAGGAATTTTCCTTTAAAGTGGCAATCTATCAAAAATGTGAGCTGGGCAAACCAAGTAGATCCCATGGAGATGGCTTGAGGAACTATTTCTAAGGCATCAGAGTTCTGAGAAGGGCTTTCTCTTTTGGGTTATGACATTCATTTTACAAGCCTTTCTTAAGATGAGGCTTGAAAGGATATTCAATCTGTATTATATATAAAAAGATTGTTTTTTATATGCATGCTGTGTATTTGAAGTATAGTTCAAACCTATCCTTTATAAAAATAAGGAAAATAATATCAAAATATTTATCTGTAAAAAGAACATGTTTCTAAAGAAATCACCACTAAAGTTCTCTTGATACCACTGAGGCAATGTTTGATTTGATCATTGATTTGATCACTCCCATCACTTATTCAGAGAGTTGGAAGTAAGCATGAGAGAAGTTTAAAGTGTAAACTCGGAACATTAATCTTAGCTCCATATGAAGGCTAATTATGGGCAATTTCTCCACCAGTGCAGAGAATCACCTGGAGCAAATATTTAAAAAATGTTTCTCTTATAAAATAATTAGAATTTTAACCCAATGCATGATTCAAGTTAGAAAACCAGAGGAGTTGAAATATTTTAATCACATAGCTGTTTTACCTGATTCTAACCGATACACACACATATATATTTTATGTACTTAAAATTACTTCTGTACTATGGTTCCCAAACAGGTTTAGGAAGGTACACGGTAGAAGCTGTAAGGATTAATCACTGTGTCTTCTGGCAGTGTTCTCCGTCAGAGGGTCGGGGAAGGCTCTCTTGCTTCTTCTAGCTTTGTGAGGATCCACTGTTGTGAGGAAATAAACCAACATATGCTTACTTCTATGAACTTGTAATGAAACTCAAAATGTACTGAATGGAAATATAGAAGTGGGCTTCTCAGTTTAGTTAGGTGTATAATCATAGCCAATAATTCAATTTATCTTATGTAAGAGATCATTTCCTCACTTAAATGGCTCAGATGGCTCAGGGTCAATGGCACTGATTTTTTATTTAACAGTAAGAATAATGTTGTTTTAAGGTCACTGAACTGGCATGTTCATCTTTAGAATAAGAAAAGTAAAATAAACCATCCTGAGAGAAAGGGTAACTTGGCAGCTGAGCTAACTCAGGCACAGTGTGCAAATTACGTATGCAGAATTCCTTCCAACCTATGCCGATTCTGTCCCACAAACCTTCATCATCCCATATATAGGATTCTTCTAAGAATAAGTACATATTCTACAGTGGGTAGGAGTAGCATAGCAACATTCTTGAGCACTTTAGGTGTTCTCATAATATAGTATTTTCTATTTTGAAAAGGTTTGAAATCACATAGAACATATGTAATGCAAACCTTTCTATCAATAATGTCTATAATCATTGGGCTTGTGTGACTGATAAAAGCCTTGGAGGTGACACTGGGTCATCCCACTATGAAACACTTTGGCAGAGGTATCTGTGCTTCTTTACCTTAGTAAGAACCTAGTGGGAATAGCTCTAGGATGAGGAGAGAAAGAGAACTGAGCTTAGTAGCCTTTTCTGGATGTTTCCAGCAGAGCTGGAAGATTAAAAACAAACTTTCTGGGACAAAAAAACATGGTGACAGAGATTACATGGAAAACGTATTGCAGAGCAACTGAAATAGGTGGTAATGCTCTTCAACAATGTGAAAGATGGCCTCAAAGTCACACTGTTATCATTCTCCAGTCTGTCTCCCTGTTCCAGGCAACAAACATTGAGGTTCTAGTCACTTTCTTCCTCTTTCTTTGTAACTTGACCCCTTTCAGTTATCTACTGGTAGTATGCCAGTGTGGCCTTGTATCCCAATGGCTGGATGGAAAATTGCACGGCACATGCTAAATGGTCCGAGGTTCCTAGTTTGGGGCCCAGATGTGAGAGTGAACCGGTAAGTAGTCACACCCAGTCAGGACCAATGCAGTATGAGGGCAAGAGGCCCAGGGATTCAGTAAAGGAGCCTTGTGTTCTTATAAATTTCATGACACAGTGAGTACAATTCAGTATCAGAAATAGCATCTTAGTTTGATTAACAAGGCAGATAATCAGTCCGTAGTCTTCCTTTTTTTGACAGTACACCTCCATGTAACTGCCATAACCCCTAACGTATGCACAGCGCTTTACAGCTCACATAATTCATATTTTTCGGCAACTGAGGTTAAACGACTTCCCCAAGGTACCACAGTCAAGAAGGATCAGAACCTGTATTCCGACCTGGATTTTCTGACTACAGGCTTGGCTCCTTCTGCTATGTGCCAGGCTATAGCAATTGTTTGTAAATCACCATAGCTACACAGAGGAGGAATCTACAATGTGGGGCATCCATTCCTGCCGGAGCTGGTAGATTAGCATTAGAATGAAATAATTTCTTTTGTTTGACTTTTTCACAAGTATTACAGTTAGGATTTAAAATCAGATGGCGCCATTTGACACAAAAAACAAGTAGGTGTGTTGAATTCAATCTAATGAAAAGCAGTTTTGGCGAAATATTATCTAGTCACATATATTAAAACAGTCAAAGCAGAAGAACAGCCTAAGTGCCCGTCAGTAGATGAATGGATTAGAAAACTGTGGTACATCTACACGATGGAATACTATGCTACTGTAAAAAGGAAGGAACTCTTACCATTTGCAACGGCATGGATGGAACTGGAGAGCATTATGCTAAGTGAAATAAGCCAGTCAATGAAGGAAAAATACCACATGATCTCACTCATTCATGGATAATAGAGACCATTATAAACTTTTGAACAATAATAGATACAGAGGCAGAGCTGCCTCAAACAGATTGTCAAACTGCAGCGGGAAGGCCGGGGAGGGTTGGGGGGCAGGAGGGAGGGGGGTAAGAGATCAACCTAAGGACTTGTATGCATGCATATAAGCATAACCAATGGACATAAGACACTGGGGGGTAGGGGAGGCTAGGGACTGTCAAGGGCGGGGCGAAAAAAAGGACACATATGTAATACCCTTTGTAATACTTTAAGCAATAAAAAAACAAAAAAAACAAAAAACAAAAACAAACAAACAAAACTTGTCTGCCTTAGAAACAGCCCAGCTTCCAGGACTATGAAAAGCAAAGATGCTGTTTACATAAGAGAACCGTTATATTTACCCTAGCATCTTCTGCGGTCTTGAAGTTAATTATTTTTCCAAACTCTTTGGCATGGAATACAGACTTCACCCGTTCCTATAAACAGAATAAGTGACTTCATTAAAAATGAAAAACCAGTTGTAGAAATATGATAAAGAAATGACATGTAGTTTTAAAAACTGGTGCTTCAAGCGTCCAT